TTCCTTGGTGTTTTTCTTTTTATAGCTAGTGCTCAGTTTTACACATGAAGGTGATGTTTTACCAATTGTGATTATAGTTAATATGTATAATACATTAAATGGCCTACAAATAATGCCACAAGTGAAAAGTTTACATTTTGTGTTTTACCATTTCAAAAGTGAATAATTGTAATTACATTCAATGTAAACAAATGACATGAATTAATAAATTCCATTAGTGAAATACTGTATCATCTTGCCTCCTTGTCGTCTTTTTTAGTTATTTACATGTGTTTATGACAACATCCACTCGATCAAAATATGACTAAATACAACAAATTACATTAACAATTCAAATTAAAACAGATAGAAAATTGTAATAATACACATTTTAGTTGGACACATGTTAAATATCATGTGTTTGTATCTGTAAACAATGAAATAGTCTAAAAATAAGTTGATATTATACAATACTTGAAAAGTCATTACAAAATTGAAAACATCAAGGTGCCAAACACAAACTATTTAGTATAAAACCTGAGATCCAAAACACATTCTTGTGTATTATAATTCCATTGCTTTACAGTTTACTGTAAAATAACTAATCAGCAGTGCAGAATAGAGATAGTGAATTGCCCTAATGTGGGACATTTTTTGCACTTCAGACTTCTGTGACATATTGCGATGTGTAACCAAAACATTAAATCCACACACAATACCATTTAAAAAACCCCAGTATGTCTCCCTAATCAAATCAAAAGAGAGAACTCAGATAACCCATTCATAAGAGAAATTATAGACATATTAGTGCTCTTATTGCAAGTTGTCTGAAATAATCAGCAGCTTCCTAATGTGGGACAGTTGTTTCCCCAATGTGGGACACTGAAAAATCTATGATAAAATACCAAAAATCACATTGATACATGTAGAATAGTAAAATCTTATTCTATTTTAGATTCTCTCTTAAATCTTAGTTAGTAATTTTCTTTGTTATGAATGAATGAAACATGTAAAATAACAAAATCTTTAGTTATATTATCCATTTCCAGTAAACCAGTATCACAATCCATAAACAAGACCATTATATCAGTTATAGTGATGCATTTCTAAAAAAAAAAAAACTAACAAATAAACAGATAAACTTTGGACCAAAATAATTTGGTATAATTACAACTAAAAAAATAAATGTACAATTGTTTCTGTTTCCTCTTTACCAAAACAGCATAATGGAGAAACCCCTTCTTTAAACTTACTGATAAAATCATTACATGGATAATATATATTTATTATTTTAAAGTGAGTTTCTTTGACTTATTTATTAGGAATTACATATTTATTAATGTCTGACCACAGATTCTGAAAAAAAGGTCATGAAAATCCTGTTTCCATTTCATCAATGCCTTAGGTGAAACATTTTTTCTTTAGTTAAGATTTGTCTAATATAAACATTATTCATATTTTTATAAATAAAAATAAATAAATAAAAATTTTAAACATGCCCCACCACACATTTTTGAGTCTTTGAAGTACTGTCCCACATTAGGCTGATCATACTGTCCCGGATTTGGAAACCACATTTCCTAATGTGGAACACTAGGAAATTTGATAAAAATATAAAATATATAGTTTATATACATAAAGTTACACTATTTTTTGATGGACAAACATTTCATAAGCATATTAGGCTAAAAAGTAGCAGGATTGCTTTGTTTAAAATCTATTAACTCCTTAACATCAAATTTGTTAAAACTCTATGTCATTAACCTTCGGATGGTCTTCACACAAGGGCTGCGTTCGGAATCGCATACTCAATGAGTAGGTACTTAATTTCAATGAGTACTTACTTAACGAGCGCTAAAAGAGTAGGTACTTAATGGCCAAATCTCGTTAAGTATGAATGCGATCCGGACATCATTCGCCATGTTGACGTTACATGTGACCTATGACGTTTTCACAAGCGCAACAATTTAAAAGTCATGAGCGACAGGTGCACTAACAGCTGATTGCATCAGTAACTCGACAACTTTACTAGAACGGTTTAGTTCAGCGTTTGAAATGGTTGGCATGTCTGCAATTGTTAGATTAAGGTGTGCACAAAGGAGATGTCGGGCAGCTGCTCGACGATCTCGTCTTTGGAGAAGACTGATGATTTTATTCTCAAACAAAGCAAGTATTACTACTTTGTAGTGACTGTGACATACATAATTCACCTTTGGGTTAAATGTAGTTCTATACATTGTTGGTGATAAATGCAGTACTTTGTTCTTAGCGTTTTTTTTCCTCATAACTGTTCAGGGATCGTGGTCCCTTTAAATGTTCTGTATGGGTGATGACTGTATGGGTGATTTGGTTATGACAAATGCTGTGACCAACAGTTAATTATATAACATTATTATATATACATTATTAATTATGTAGTTTTGTAAAACAAGCAAACTTTTGTATTATCATATGATATAGCTATGCATGAATACACGCTAGACAAATGCAGATGATGTAAATACATTTTTATTCATGAAATTCATATTTTATTTACTGACAACAATATGAAACATGAATAAAAATAAGTGAATGAATAAAAGAAATCATCACAATAAATAAATACATATACAAGTCAATACCACATGAAACATCGCTTTATTCAAGCTTTTTGTTCTAACAAACTATGATGTATTTATTGCAGGCAGTGAACCCCACATCATACTGCCATCTCAATAGAGCTGTTCCCATTTTGCGGCTTTATCTTGATGAGGCAGCTGACCACCGTGCCCACCTTCGCCTGTCTATGCCGTCCATCAGGTCCCTGATTGCTGCAGTCAGACCTGGATCTGACCATGGATGGGAACGGGAGATTGAGGTCCTTGTGTTCCTGCACTGGCTGGCCCATGCAGCATCCTACAGGGTGGTGTCGCAGACCTTCGATATCCCAAAGACCTCTGTGCATGACATTGTGCACAGAGTGAGCAAGGCCATCATGGGAATTTTGAGGAGGGTGATCTGCTTTCTGACCGGAGATGACCTGGAGGCAGTGGGAGCAGGATTTGCGCAGCTGTCTGGGTCACCAGCTTTCAGCAGAGTAGTTGGTGCAATAGACAGCTGTCATATCCGTATCAAACCTCCAGCAAATAACTCCCACTGTTACTTCAACAGGAAGCTGTTTCACTCCATCCAACTCCAGGCCATCTCTGATCACTGGGGGAAATTCCTTGATGTCTTTGTGGGATATCCTGGGTCTGTGCACGATGCCAGGGTGCTGAGGAACAGCCCTGTGTATGCTGGCAGCCTTTACCCACCTGCAGGCAAGTGCATCCTCGGGGATGGAGGCTATCCTTGCCTGAGTGCACCCATCTGCCTCATCACCCCTTACAGAGAGCCTGTACAGAACCCTGTGCAGGCTCGTTTCAACAGCAAGCACTCCCGTGCCCGCAACATCGTGGAGAGAGCTTTTGGGATGCTGAAGACACGCTGGCGCTGCATTTTCTTCAAGGCCTTGGAGGTGAGCCCTGCCTTCGTGCCTGAGATTGTAGCGTGCTTCACAATCTCGCTCTAGCCAATGGGGACATCGTTGAGCCAGAGGATGAGGAAGACCATGATGACGGCCCCCCTGATCCCCACAACCTTGCAGCAAGAGTGGGAGAACAAGTGCGGGACAATCTGGCTGCTGCAGTGTCTGCTCCAAACATCCCTGTGCCGGCTCTCCATGAGCATGACTACCTTTAAAACATTAAGAAAGATCAAAATGTTTTAAAATTCATGTTGTCAGCATTCAGTTTCTTGACAAATGTCATTTTATAGGTTTACAATTACATGCAAATATTTGTTAGAGCTTTAAAACCTTTTGTAGTGTAGAGGGATAAACCAATGAACTGGTTAGAAGAAGATTGCTGGTCAATCAGCAAGGCTCTTTACTCCAGGTTTGTCCAGGGTCATTTTCCCTGTAAATAAATGGAGTTAATCACTTTTGATAAAAAATATGTCAAATGCATAAATGTGATTGATATTTGTAAAGCATTTTTTGAACCAGTCATGGGCATAAACAGTCAAAGCTGCTTAGTTTGTCAAGGAATTACTATAATGCAAAATGCATACATAAATTTACTACAATTTATATTTGGTGGGTTAAAGGGTTAGTTCACCTCAACATATAAATACAGCAATTGTTTACGGTTTACTATTTACTTATTTAATGTTTTTTTATTGTTTAAATACAAAAGGGAATTTTTGTCAAGTTTGTTCTGCTGGTTTCATACAATATCAGTCAATGGAGCCCAACTTTCAGAAGCTTCATGGCATTATTTAATGACGCTTTTGAAGCTTCTGAAAGTCCATTGACTGATATTGTATTAAACCAAACAGTACAAACCTGACCAAAATCACCTTTTGTGTTCAGGAAAACAAAAAACAGAGGGATCAAACAACATCAAGGCGAGTAAATAATGACTATTGAATTATTACTATTATGATTTATTTGCTTGGGTTAAGTAACCCTTTAGTCACTATTTTACTGTGTGTAATTTGTGTAAACAGTCTCAAGTTCAGCTTTGGTCATGGAGGGCTATTATCCAGCAGTTTTTCCGACCCTAATTATACACCCCTGAATCAATTTAAACCAATTAATAACTGACTACTTGAAATTTACTGACAGGTGTGCTGGAACTTAACCCTCCATGACCTGCCTTTAAGATCCTTGCATGAACTCTGTAAACTTTTAAAAGTCGTATAATACACTCCAGTAAAACCAGTGTTTTAAAGTGTTTTTTCTTCTTACATTACACCATACATTCACTAATTATTAATCAACGTTTCATAAATATTTAATTTATGAATTTGATTACAATCTTAAAGTATCACTAAATTTCTAGAAGTCTATAATGTACTGTGAATGCCTAGAAATAGTTTGTTTTATATACATATTATTGTACAAAATTCTTAGGTCATTATCATAATTTTTTATGTTTCTGCAACTTTGCAGTTGAGTAAAGAACCCTATGCTACATATATAGAACCCTTTTTCCTATAGATTCCCATTTTTATTCACAAATTTAATTCACATCAACCCAAATGTGCAAAAGATCAGAAGATGTTTTTTGTCAAATAATTTATTTTTTGGCGAGCATCTGAAGAACAGAAAGGAACCTTTCATCCCTTTCGTTGGTTTCTCTTTCTCTCCTTTCCTCTCTCTCGACTGCCTCCCGGTGCCATCTCTCTTCTCTTTCTCTTACTTCTCTTTCTTGTCTTTCCTCTCTCTCTCGTCTCTCCCGTTCTCTTCTGTCCTCCTTCTCCTCCATTTCTCTCCACAGCCTCTCCTCCCTCTCAGCTGCCTTCCGCTCTCTCTCCTCTTCTCGCTCCTCCATGTCCCGGATCAGCTCCTCCACATCTATAGCCCTTTTCCTGGCTCTTGCTGGCTCTGGCCTCACTGAGGATGAAGAGACCACAGCAGCATCCGGCCCACATGAGGCAACGAGGGCAGGAGGAGAGATGGAGGGTCTGCCCCCAATTGCCTCATCCATGGCAGTGTACCACTTCCAGGATGCTGCTGTGGGCTCTCCATCCTCAGTGCTCACCCCCGTCTGCGGACATTTCAGATCCTGCAAAAATGCACAAGCATGATACAAAAGCAGTCATTTTAACAGCACAATATTTAATCATTTAATTTATGTATTAGAAGTAACAAAATGATCTTACTTTGTATTTTTGTTTCAGGTTTTCCCATTTTTTTTTAACAAACGCCGCCGTCACCCTGCCTTGCAGTCTCTGCTCCTCCACAAAAGATCTGCAGCAAGAGAGAAATCAAGAATGAAAAAGTTATATCTCTGTTTGAAAATACAATAATTGAAATGTACTGCAAATAAAGTATTCAATTGATTTTTAAATATTTCTGTATACTCATTTAAAGCCTTTGATGGCAGCATTACGCTTTCCGGTGAAGAGCGCTTCATGAGCCACTCTCCACCGGATAAGCAGCCGCGTGTGCTCATCCGTCCCTGTAACATCCAGACAAGACTCACGTTACCTCTGTGATTTATGAGCTCAAAACTACATTTACATGTTGAGGTTGTTGCTAATAAATAGCTTTTTATCCATCATAAATGTTCAACAATTTTTCAACAGTACTAATGGATAAATGAAATAGATTACTTATGTTTAGTTACTTTATGTAAAATGCATTAAACTAATAAAAACAGTGTTAACAACAGTGAATTCTCCTTAACAATAGTACACACACGTCACTCAGATGTCTATTTCATATCAGTTACACGTAGTAATCTTGCCAGATTTTGAATAAATATTTAGTAATGGTATTTCAGATGTATACGGTTTAAAATGTATGCAAATACAGTTTAAAGACGTATGTGTCCTTATGGAGCTCCTCTATCCAATAAAATGTGATTTACGGCAAAATTACAAATTTAATGAAGTTCCTAAACGTAAGTTAGGGAGGAGCGAGCCCATCCAATCTTTCAATCAACAAACAGAGTATATAAGCAGCCGCTTACCTCTCCCTAGTATCAGCTGTTCCAGTATCCCTCCACCTCCCCAAACTCCACCTTCATCTTAGGTACCTTGCCCTTTAATTAAAAGGTCCTACATTTAGCCACTGGGGGGTATATCAGAGCTCGAGTTGAAGCTGCTTCATCGAGTGAATATAGTGGCCGACAATATAATATGAGTGCTGTTGCACTGCATTGCGGAGACAACGATGTGCATTGAAGAATATCATATAAGCTATGCGCTTGTTGCATTGCAATGCATACAATAACTAACTCATTCCCATGTGCATTAAAGAGATAACATGTGTTTTGTTGCATTGCATTGCACAAACGATCTAACGTTGTGCATTGAAAAATACCATTTAGGCTATGCACTTGCATTGCATACCAGAACTAACTCATTGCGTTGTGCTTTGAGGAAATACAATTTGTTCTTTTGCATTGCATTTCACACACAATCAAACGTTGTGCATTGAAGAATAACATAGCTATGCACGTGTTGTATTTCAATGCATGCCAGAACTTAACTCATTCCTTTGTGCTTTAAGGGAATAACATGAGTGCTGTTGCTGTATGTCATATAAGCTATGCGCTTGGTGCATTGCAATAGATACAATAACTAACTCGTTCCCATGTGCATTAAAGAGATAATTTCTGTTTTGTTGCATTGCATTGCACTGCATACTATAACAAACTTATTAATTTGTGCAGTGAAGAGAAATTATTGCATTAGTTGTTGCAATACAATGCATAGTATAACTACCTCATACCTCGTGTGCAAAGAAGAGATGTGTTGCATTGCATTGCACACACGATCTAAGATTTAGCATTTAAGAATAACATATAATCTATGCACATGTCGCATTTCAATGCATGCCAGAACTAACTCATTCCTTTGTGTAAGGAAATAACATGAGTGCTGGTGTATTGTATTGCACACAGGATCTAATGATGTTCATAGAACATAACATACAGGCTAAGCAACGACGAGATAACATGAGTGCTGTTGCACTATATTGCACAGACAACGATGTGCATTGAAGAATATCACATAAGTTATGCGTTTGTTGCATTGCAATGCATACAATAACTGACTCATTCCCATGTGCATTAAAGAGATAACGTTGTGCATTGCAAAATAACATAAAAGCTATACACTTGTTACATTGCATTGCATACCAGAACTAATTCATTGCGTTGTGCTTTGAGGAAATACAATTTGTTCTTTTGCATTGCATTTCACACACGATCAAACGTTGTGCATTGAAGAATAACAAATAAGCTTGTTGCATGCAATCCTTACAAGAACTAACTCACTTATATGTGCATTGAAGAGATACCATTTTTGCAGTTGCATTCGAATGCACAAAAGATCTAACGAATAATTCCTCTATGCAATGAAACACATAACATATGTGCTTTCGCACTGCACTGCATACTACAACAAACTTATTCACTAGTGCATTGAAGGGAAATTATTGCATTATCTTCTTATTATTGCATTAGCTATTGCATCTCTTCATTGCAAAAACGAATAAGTCAGTTTTTTGCAATGTAGTGCTGTTTGCACTCATGTTATCTCTTTAATGCACAAAGGAATGAGTTAGTTCTGGCATGCATTAAAATGCAACATGTGCTGCATATGTATACGCTTTTCAACGCTACTTCTTAGATCGCATGTGCAATGCAATATTTCGTGTCCGTGCAGTGTTCGACTTCGTTGCACATGAAGTATGAGGTAGTTATTCATATGCATTATAATGAAAGAGCTAATGCAATAATTTCCCTTCTATTCAAAAATGAATAAGGTTGTTATAGTATGCAGTGCAATGCTAAAGCACATATGTTATGTGTTTTCATTGCATAGAGTAAAAATTCTGATTTTATCTCCTCAAAGCCTAACGCAATGAGTTAGTTCTGGTATGGAATGTATGCAACAAATGCATAACTTATGTGTTATTATTCAAAGCGCAATGATCGCAAAGATCGTTTGTGCAATGCAATGCAACAGCACTTAAGTTATCGCTTCGTTGCAAAACAGAATGTCAGTATGCATTGATGCACCAAGCACATAGCTTATATGATATTCTTCAATGCACATCGTTAGATCGTTTGTGCAATGCAGTTCAACAGCATTCATGTTATCTCTTTAATGCACAAAGTTATTAATTTGTGCATTGAAGAGAAATTATTGCATTAGTTGTTGCAATACAATGCATAGTATAACTACCTCATACCTCGTGTGCAAAGAAGAGATGTGTTGCATTGCATTAGTTAGTTCTGGCATGTATTGAAATGCACCAAACACATATATGATATTCTTCAATGCACATCGTACAATGCTATCTCTTCGTTGCACAAGAGGTATGGGGTAGTTATTCTGTGCATTGTAATGCAAGAGCTAATGCAATGATTTCCCTTCAATGCAAAAATGAATGTTTGTTGTAGTATGCTTTGCAATGCGAAAGAACACATGTTGTGGTTTTCATTGCATAGAGGAATAATTTAGATTTTTTTGCAATGCAATGCAACAGCACAAATTGTATCTCCTTAAAGAACACCGCAACGAGTTAGTTCTGGTATGCAATGCAAAGCAACAAGTGCATATAGCTTATGTTATTCTTCAATGCGCAATGTAGATCGTTTGCACATATATGTTCTGGGTTTTTTTTGCACAGGAATTAGTTTGATATTTCATGCAATAGTTCTTGTATGCATTAACATATGGGCACTATTGACACGATCTAACGTTGTGTATTGAAGAATAACAAATAAGCTCGTTGCACAGCGGAATGAGTTAGTTATTGTGTGTCCATTGCAATAGAATAGTTATTGCAATAATTTCCCTTCAATACACAAATAAATAGTTTAGATGTAGTAATGCAAAAAGAAAGCACATATAGTATGTGTTTTCATTGCACAGAAGAATAAGACAGATATATAGTTTATATGATATTCTTCAATACACATCGTTAGATCGTTTGTGCAATGCTGTGCTTTTGCACTCATGTTATCTCTTTAATGCACAAAGGAATGAGTTAGTTCTGGCATGCATTGATGCCATACGCTTATATGTTATTCTTCAACGCTACTTCTTAGATCGCATGTGCAATGCAACACCTATGTTATCGTGTTCGGCTTCGTTGCACATGAGGTATGAGGTAGTTATTCTATGCATTGTAATGAAAAAGCTAATGCAATAATTTCCCTTCAATTCAAAAATGAATAAGCTTATATGATATTCTTCAATGCAATGCAATTCTTCACATCGTTTGTGCAATGCAGTGCAATAGCACTCATGTTATCTCTTTAATGCACAAAGGAATTAGTTAGTTTTGGCATGTATTGAAATGCAACATGTGCTTCGCAAATATGTTATTTAACTAATTCTTGGATCGCCATTGCAATGCAATGCAACTTATGTTATCTCTTCGTTGCATAAGAGGTATGAGGTCATTTTATGCATTGTAATGCAAATGGCAAAAGTTGTAGTATGCAGTGCAATGGAAAGCACATATGTTGTGTTTTCATTGCATAGAGTAATAATAAGATTTATTTGCAATTCTTATGTTATCTCTTCGTTGCATAAGAGGTATGAGGTCATTTTATGCATTGTAATGCAAATGGCAAAAGTTGTAGTATGCAGTGCAATGGAAAGCACATATGTTGTGTTTTCATTGCATAGAGTAATAATTAAGATTTATTTGCAATGCAATGCAACAACTCAAATGTTATCTCCTCAAAGCACAACGCAATGAGTTCTGGTATGCAATGCAATGCAACATGTAATTTATATATATATATATATATATATATATATATATGTGTTATTTTTCAATGCGCAATGTTAGATCGTCTGTACAATGCAATGCAACTGCACTTAGGTTATCACTTCGTTGCAAACCAGAATAAGTCAGTTTTTGGTATGCATTTAAATGCATCAAGCACATAGCTTATGTGATATTCTTCAATGGACATAATTATATAGTTTGTGCAATGCAGTGCAACAGCACTCATTTTATCTCTTTAATGCACAAAGGAATGAGTTAGTTAGAACGAGTATTCCAAAATTTGACCTATTGAACATATTTCTGCGCAAAGACTCCTTGAACTTGATCTTTTTATACATACTCATAGACTCCTTTTGATGTTTCATCAGCCAGACAGAAGTCCTTATTTGACCTATTGAACCCATTATTGAGTCCTGATGTTACAAGAACCATACTGTAGTTCTTGAAGACATTTCTGGCCAAAGAGTCCTCGATATTGAACTTTCTATTCAAACTAATAGACTCCTTTTGATGTTTC